AAGCCCACCACTTATTAAGCCCAAGTTGGTCTGGGCCCGATGTGGACTTAATAACCGGCGACAGCTGCATTAAGCCCATGGTTAATAAGCCCGCCGCTTATTAAGCCCAATTTGGTCTGAGCCCGAGGTGGGCTTAATAGCCGGCGACTACTATATTTGCTTCGACAAAGGACCGCCGGCCCAGCTGTCCGAAACGTCAGTAAATCTACAAGTTTATTCCGGTGAGCAGCAGATGAACTCTTATTCTTATCCCGGAATTCTGACTTTTTCAAATTTCATCTGTTACTTTATTAATGCTGTTTACAAAGTACACAACATGTTTCACATCCATTGCCAAATTTTTATGAGAACTGCGTGATGTCTTCCTAACATGGCATAGACATTTATGAATGAATGAATGAACGAATGAGAACGTTCGCGTTCCAGGTATTTGCGTGGTTTAAGAAGAAGGATGGTAGAACACCAGATCAGTTTGTTTATTACGCTGAGCTTTCTAACTCTTAGAGGAGTCCATTGTCAGAGATAAGAAACAACAAAAAAGGGGGTTATTATAGTGGGTGTACACCAAACAGCTGTCAGGGGTCGTAAAGGAGTAAGACACAATGATGAAAAAAGGAGGGGAGGAGGGGGCAACTGTGAGAGTATAAGTTAATTAGCTGTGAGTGATGTCAGGGTTCTTCAGGGTGTCAGCAACGAAAATGGCGGTAATTATAGAGGATGTGGACTAATTAACCGTGGCGGACGTCTTGGCGTGACTGCACATGACTGCACCAAGCTCGGTTTGTCGGCGCCAACTTGACACATGGATTGACTGAATTCTCGTCCGTGGACCAGACTTCGATCAATTCCCGGCTCGTCTTGTTTTCGGCGTGGGCCAGTACCTTGACAGCTGCAACGTTAAACTTATGGCCTTTTTCATAGGTGTGAGCTGCAACTTGTGATAATTCATCGCCTCGTCGTACAGCTAACTAGTGTTCATGTATGAGCGATCCGAGCATCTTTGGGTTTGGCCGGCGTAGTTGCAAGGACAGCTTAGGCATGGAATGCGATACACTACCCCAGATTATTCATTGGGAGTAAGCCGGTCTTTTATTTTCATTACCCTGCTGCGCATGGTAGCTTCGAATCTGTGTGCAATTCCAATACCTAGTCTCGCAGCCGTGCGCTCAGTCGCTTCCGAGACGTCCTTGATATATGACAAAGCGTACCATGTACTCGGTGGTTCTTCCGTCTGGGTCCTCCGGGTCCGAATGAGTAGGCATCTGTTTTGTTAAATGCTTTTCCTTACACGGTAATTATTCAGGCAGTAGGTTCAGAACCCAGAATGAAAGCGCAGCGGTGGGTCAGATTCAAAATTATCCGGGAATCGAACAAAAGGTTCCCTAAAACTGAAAGCTACTCTTTCTTCCAGTCGTATATTTGAAGAAGACGTAATAAGGTACAAAATGCGTTGACAAAAGTTTACTTTTGTGCATTTTTTTATAAAACATCTTTGGATTCAGAAGGGATACGTTCGAGATACGTCCGAATTTATCAACGACGTCAAAATCACGAACTTAAATGGCATAACCATGCTCTCTTTAGACGTCCCATCACTGTTTACAAATGTTCCAGTCACCGAGACAGGCGTTTAGACTTCTCAATTCCTATTGCCTAGTCAGCTGGAAATAGGAGTGCTGACGAACTGTTAGTAGGATGCACACTAAATGTGTAATTCATTTTAAAGAACTATAGTAGCCGCCGTTTATTGAGCCCATGGTTAATAGGCCCAGCCGCGTATTAAGCCCAAATCAGCTTGGGACACAATTTT